ATAGGTTCAGGTTGGAAAAGAGCCAGTGGTGGCCAAACAAAAACATGGCCTCATCAATCCATGAAATCCTTGACAGTTAAACTGAGTCAGGTAGGGAGGGAGATGCAGACTCCCGGGTTGGGGTCCTCGAGACTCTAGGAATCAATGGCTGGAGACAATAGGTGACATGGCTGAAAATCGTTGTCAATGGCAGGCGCAGATGCATTCAGTCTCTGTAATCTTTCATATTCTTTTCTACCATTACCCATTCTGTTTCACTCTCATACTTGTCAAACTCTATTGATTCTCTCCACTCATCTTCTTGTCTACCTCTGTGTGCTATTTGGAACGTGGCAAGTTGAACTGGTGCACTTCGGTGCCAAGTTCTATGTTGAATCCAGACAGACAGTACTTAACAACGTGATCTGGGTGAAATTTGCTCCTTGATTGGTGAATAGCGTTCATATTTGGGCTGTAACGATGACAAGTGTGGTTAGCCGATGACTAGCATGCGTTAAAGATCATTGGAGCGTTCATATCCCTGGGATGCTATAGTTTAACTTTGCCGGATCTGGGAGATTACAGAGAGAAAGGAGAGAGTGTGTGGATGCATCTGCTCCATTGAGAATGGCTTGAAAGTGTTCTTTTGAATTTCTTTCTATTCTCCTCTTCTTTTTTCTCTATTTTTGTATGCTATATGGAGTGTGGCAACTTGTAACTATTGCACACTTCTGTGTAAAGTTCCATGTTGAAACTCAGTCAGAAATACTGGAGAAGTGCCTCTTTCGTTGTTGATGTAGCTGTCTGTTCTTTGCTGTTGATACGAAGCGGTTTGAAACAGTAATTAACTTATGATTCATCTTATAGTTGAATGACCTTGACTGACAGTAAAATTCCATCGTCTTTTTCATACTTTGATCCTGGTCTAATCGTCAGCCAATCAGAATATTTGTTACAGGATTTCACCATGAGCTGACATCAGTTAGAGAACCATTGGAAAACCTGGGAGTAATGGACATCTGTTTCATCAGCCTAGTTTGGGACACTTCAACAGTACGCACCCACCACCAGGGTTTAAACCCAGAACCTTCTGGTTACAGGGCGGGCTCGTAAACCATCAAGCGGACACTGGAACCCGGTCGAATGGCCAGCCCATGAATTCTAACTTCTGGCAATTCACAACATAGTGCGACTGGCGATAGCCAATGTCATCGCTGGCTAGTATTTGTTCTGACACCCGACCTCCTGCACCTTACCGGTCACGGCTTCCCACTAAAACCCCTGTCTGTCTGTCTGTTTTCGACATAGAACTTTGCACAAATGTCCGGTAGTTCAAGTCGCCACACTCCGTGTAGCACGCGAAGTAAGAGAAGAAAGTATAAGAAAAGCATAACAGAAACAGTGAGCAGAGATGTGAGACAAAGGAGTAATAAAGAAAAACAAAAGTTTCATTGGAGATCATAAGTCACAAGGAGTGGATGCATCTGCGCCAGCCACTGAGAACGATTTTGAGCCATGTCACCAATTGTTTCCAACCATAGATTTTTACCGTCCCGAGGACCCCAACCAGTCAGGAAGTCTACACCTTCCTACGTGACTGGCTTAGACCAACTGTTGTGGATTTCATTGACTCCACTAAAACCCCAGGTGACTATCTACCTGAATAGGTCCAGGCATGAGGACAAATAGTCGTCGAATACATGGGCGACTGGTAGCGCTATATCGTGCGTTGATTGGCACAAGTTGGGATTCTTGCGCCATTGGGCTGGGTTCCAGTGGGTTAATGGTCTACGAGCTCACTCTGTAACTAGGAAGTCCTGGGTTCGAACCATGGCGGTGGATGCGTACTGATGAAGTACCCCAAACTAGGACGAAACGTCTGTCCAGTGCTCTCATGTTTCCCAGTGGTTCTGTAACTGATGTCAGCTCATGATAAAATCCTACAACCAATCGACCAATTCCCTACATGCCAATACTTGAAAATCAGAATATTTATTTTCCGCGGACCTAGCCGAATCACCTACCAATCAGAATAATTTATTTTCCACTTCCCTAGGAATATTTTAATATGGTCAAAAATACATAGATATGGCGTGGTTCTTTTCCTAATAAAAGTTGTATCTGAACTGTCACAGGTGCCAGTCTTTGTCTTTTGATATTTACTTGGCTCAATGAATCGTAAGGTCCTAGGGAAGAATGGGTATATTCTAGCAATATAAGTTGAGTTACTCACTGCGTCAGCATTACAATACCCACGCATAAGTCCACTCGGTCATCTCAGCTGTCGATGAGATTAAATCAATTGACGACAGGTCCATAACAAACTGGCGACTGGGATGAGGCCATAACAGCTAGATGAATGGGTGGCTTATTTATTTTTTTATTTTTGATTACAGCTTGATTCCACACCATATTTTTTGGTACAGGTATGGAATCTTCAGCATGTGATATCGGTAGCCCAAAGTTTGCAGGCCGACCATAGATATCAGGTGTGCGTCGGCAGCTGATCGAACCCCGGACCATGTGCATGGTGGGTTAGAGTTATAACCTTTGTTCCACCAGCGCACAGTGTGAAGTAACCGTTCTGGATGTTATTTTTAAGAGGATGTTAGCAAAAGCTTCCTAATGAGAAACCGTCCAACTGTTCTACTTTGATCACGTATTGGTATCAGTTAGAGAATCATTGAAAAAAATAGTCAGGGTGTACTGTAAAGCTGTTTTCTCTTTGTTTAAAACTCTTTGGCAGCACTTGCCCTTGATCCTAACCCCAGATATCAAATCCCAAGGCGGCGAAATCGGTGACAAATACTCATCGACGACATTAACTGGAAGTGGCAGTAAAAATAGCGAATTGACAAATATTAGAATTGTTGGACCATTGGATTTCCTCCCAGTGTCAGAATTGTCAACCAGCTGGCCTTATAACCTGAAGGTCCTGGACGCATACTGCTGGAGAGTGCTCCAAAAAAGGCGAAACAGCTGTCCAGTAGTACTCCCTCTTGCTTTTCCATGGTTTTCTGACTGAAATCACTCCGTAGTCAAACGTGAAAGTTGTCAAATCCTCCCCTATTCTGGCATTGATTAAAAAGAAAAACACGAAACAGGTGTATGATGGGAGAAGGCAAGACACTTAGTATTGGAGATTTTTCTGTTGAAGAAAATCACACCATATTTATACATTTTTGACCATATTCATGGTTGCCTAGGTCAGCGGATAATAAACTGTTCTGATTGGTTGCTGATTTTCTTAAGGTTAAACATTGAAACTATTTACCTGACCACAACGTGAGCACTAGATTCAAGTGTGAGAAATAAACGCCTCTACTTACTTCTCTGGCCAGTGATTTAAAGTGTTGTTTTCGATTTTGTCTACTTCCTGTCAATGCATATCTATATACTACTGATAATTGTTGTCAGTAGCACACACTTTAGGTGTAATTCAGCAAAAAGGCTCTTACCCTTGTGATAAGTCGTCATATTCATTACTAATCTCACTACTATTATTATTGAAAAAACTTGGTACATTATGGGGCGCCAAGAGAAGCGCCATACAAAAATAATAAAACACATACATACATTAAAAAAATATGGATAGAACGAATGAGGGTTGTTATCCAGAAAGCAAGTAAACATGTAACGACAGAAGACAAGAGTCAGGCAACAGATCGTTTATTGAGAGAACCAACAGACATTTATAGATTTTTATGTACATTATTATTAGCGCTATTGTTAGCAGAGAGGTAACGTCTTTTGATTGGTTGTTTTCCTGCTGAAGTTTATTCTTTCATCTCTTTGTGGCTGTTTCTTAGACAGTCCGGTGATATATATATATATCTGCGAATCGTTTCCGCTCAAGCTAAGTCTGCTGTGATTTTCTTGTTGAGTTCCTCAAGGTTAAGCTTTGTTCTTGTTTTTCTTCTCATTGACGTCAATTGCTGTCTACGATTTTGTCTTGCAGACAGCTCTCACCACAAAAATAATTTTTTCAGGATTATTCGTCGTTTATTATTTCATCATTACTTTCACAGAAAAGGAAGAAATATGGAAATCGCAGCATATTCTCCGTAGATTGCGATGTGTAGCCATATCATCTGATAATGTCTCAAGTCAGGGATTCGAATTATCTCTCCAACTCCACGCAGGTCTGTCGTGTTGTACTAATAGATGTCAGTTTGATACAATTACCCCTTACCATGTAGCTCCATATTATGGATTTACCATCCCTTTCCCCTTTACCACTCAGTCTCAGGAGTGGTGAACGGTAGACTGTATGAAAGCTGCTGTAATGATATTCATAGCATATGTGCAACCCATTGAAGTTAACATTCCAAGTGGTTGCCACTTATTAGAAGACAATCTTCACCATGTTGAAACATATACCGTCGGTCTTTAGTACTTACTTACTCCGTGATGCCACTGGACACAAGTAATGCTACGCAGACAGCTGATGGTTGAATGCTCAAAGTAGAGCAACAGTGAGTTCACTGAAGTTTTGTAAACCCGATGTCGCGAGGGAGCCGGAGGTAGATGAGGTTAGTGTATATCATCCTTGGCTTTCATTATCCATGATATATCTCAGCCAGGACTAACATAACTACGTCGACACACGAACTTACTGAGTATCTCTTCTTATCGAGTAAACCCGTGTCAATTTAGTCGTAACTTGTATTACTCAGCAAATCAACTGAACACTTTGTTTCTTTCTTATTTTTTTTTATTCCTTCGCGTTCCCGGTGGAACATAGAGCTTGAAGCTAGAGGCTTGGAGTTTCTATATCAGTGGTGAATATTTTTTAGAGGATGGGGTGGCTAGTCTCATACCCAACCGTATTGTTTAACCAGCTGTATAACTGGCTTAGCTAAGTAAAGGAGTGAGTCGGTGGTCGAACCATGTGCATGTTCGGTGATCGTCCTAACCGCTGTGCCACCGATGCACTTCTTTCTTATTGTAACAGTAATTTTGTTTTGTTATAATGCCACCACTTCTTTCCACTGTCTACTGTCTTCATTCATTCTTTTCAGTGGATCATCTGTGTGGATATTTAACTGTACGAATTAATCTTCAAAGAATCAATAGAGATGTATCAGGTAAGTACAAAATATTAACATGTGTTTATTACTAATTAGACGAAGTATTCTCTATTGTTTTAGAGACCTTTATTATAGACTACTAATCTATTGAGGTTGCTTTGCATAGGTTTGAGTCCCATCTACTCCGAGCTATATGAACTCCGTGTGGTAATGGAAACATCTCTAATTGTCAACCACAAGAACAACAGCAATACCACAGACATGTGAAACACAGGGATGTTGTTGAATATATAGGTTTTGAATGACCTTGAGAAATACTAAGTCCACTATTAGGTTAAAAGAGCTTTCAACCAATCAGAGCTTGGCGTTCAAAAGAGCGGGAAATGCAAAAAGTGCCACGAATGCGTAATAACTGCAAAAATATAGTTATTTTAAAATTGGAGATATATGACATAAGAAATTACTATCAAAATTAATCATTTAAAACCAACTTCCGCTTACTATTGATGGGTACCCAACTGTAAAAGTTGGTCAGGTTGGTATGGTTCCACGTAGGCTTCCGACATATTGATCTCCTCAGAGTCGCATCAGTCTTGTTTGTTAGTCGGACGGACATCCAGGAATGAGATTGTCTCTCCGGTTTCTGCTTCAATTGTAAATTTGATGGCTCGACATTATTCAGGCCACATTTGTCATCACAGATGATAAAAGTGTCATGAACGTACTTTTGGTACAGAGAGAAAAATTGTCGATTATCGATTAGTCAGCGGACCATTTTTCAAATTAATTAATTAATTCTCTGTTATTTCCCTCCCCCTCACTCCTTTGCCTTTCTTTTTCAGATGAAACTGTTCGATTTGTCTTATACAGTTATAATGAAGCTACAAATACCTATCAATTATTAGATTCCCATATGTCTATTGAAGAGATTAGTCGTGATCAATTTCATGGGATGAATTGTCTTGATTTATATTATGCGCGTGATGATTTATTAGATGATAATAATAATAATTAAAGGAATTCGATGCAGTAAAACAAATAAATGTACAAGGAAAAAGCACACACACATTGAACACATTGAACAATTCATTTAAACGACAATAATACTAATATTATTTATTACTTCTGCGTTAAACAATATACATATTACTAATAATAATTATTATTATCTGAATTGTATATTATTCATTCAAGTTATATTGTTATTGTTGCTGTTTTTTTATCTGTATAGTGCTGAAATCTGTTTTCTTCTAGTTTTGTTTTAATTTTTTATAATTTTTCTTTTTCTTTTATCAAGTTTCATTTAGTTTTCATTTTGGTTTATCATGTGCTGTAAGCGTGCATGTGTTTGTGTATAGTGCTGATATATAATTCATGCCATTAAATTATACGCACATAATTATATCATCTTTGCCATTTTGCATATTTATTTGCGTGTGTTTGTGTATGTGTGCGTGCGTGCGTGAGCCTGTGTGTCTGTTGAATTCTCTCTACCCATCGATCTGTCTGTCTGTCTATCTCTCTATCTACCTGTCTATCTAGGTGTCTGCCTGTCTGTCTATCTCGCTATCTACCTGTCTGTCTAGGCGTCTGGCTGTCTGTCTATCTCGCTATCTACCTGTCTATCTAGGCGTCTACCTGCCTGTCTATCTCGCTATCTACCTGTCAACCTAGGCATCTGCTTGTC